CGTCCTCGGTATCCTCGGAGTCCAAGTTGATAGTTGCATCTCCTACTTCCGCTTTCCTTCGATGGTAGAGCTCTTTGCTAATTCGATCCCGGAGGGCTTCGTCAACAATGCTCACGTTACACTGGAAAACGGCATATACCGGCCGGTGGTCCGAGAATTTGAGTGGGGCCGAGTTGTATGCCAATTGACGCAAACTTGCACCTTTGCGCAGAATGCGGTCTGTCCACGCTGGGATGCGTGCCTTTTCACTGGTTGGAAGTCAATCTATGCGCTACAAGCAAGACGATGCCAGTCCATTCGGCTTACGATGTATCGTATTCGTCCGTCCCAAGGTCAAACTTGTACGTTGGCAGGAAGTTGATCCGAGCCTCAGAATAGAACGGAAATGCAAGTCCCGCAATCATCTGGAGATTCAACTGCGTAGCATAGTCAGCATGGTGGCCGGTTCAGAAAATTAACCTCTGCTCCTTACCTGGTCGTTCTCGTAAAGCGTCTCCAGGTCGTTTTTTTTTATCAAGCTTCGGGCAGATTCAGAGCCGAGCCCAATTCGGTAGTTGAAATCTCCCAACCATATAACAGCATCTGTGTCCGGGTCAGCTCGTATATCACAAGGTAGGTTCTAAAGCCGTCCTACCGTGATCATCGATGCCGCGGTTCCGTTGGAAACGGAGTCCGTGGTGGATAGTTGCGTAGTCCCTATTTCTTTCGTCATAGTTTGAAAATCCAGCAGCCAAATGGGCTGTCACAAAGCAGATATGGGTATTCGCATAGTCAAATCGTATTGCAACCGCGCCCTTGTTGCCCGCCATGCCCGACAACCCTGTTTTCTTGACACTCCCTTCGACATTCTTAATGTTAGCCAAGGCCGAAGCCTTGACGAAGATGCACAACGCAGCACCAACAAGCTGTCCGCTCCGCAGCAAAACGTATCTTTCGCCGCCGAGTGCCTTCGAACGCTTGTTGAGGCATCGTCGCACTGCGGCCTCCCATAATTGCTTTCTGGAAGGGTCGCTGTTCATAATCTGCTGTGGGCTCAACTCAACAATCTCTTGAAATCCCACGACGACGATTTCAGGCAACACGTCACCGAGCTCTTCTGGGGCTAGCCATGGAGTAAGATCGCTGTCAACGCCCTCTGTACGGCCGTTCAAGTTGAAAGTGCCAACCAACCTCCTACAGTAAGCATCTCGCAGACAAGATGGCGGGAAGTACACTTACATGGCGATGTCTTGGACGGAAGAGAACTCGGCACTTCTCTTAGCGAGCTCACTGGATACATAGTCGCTTATGGGATCGAACAGAAGGACGGGCGTTTGGTTGACAAGGCGTCCAAGAAGGCGGTCAATCGTCGTCTGCCGAGCTGAATCCGTAAAGTTGTTGTGGTAGAGCCTCTGGACCGATTTGCGCATATCCGCGACAGCACCAGCGAGTGACATCTTTCCGGAGCGTGTGAAGGACGATTTGAGAGCACCAGTGCCGGCATAGATCTTTGACAGAGCATCGCCGTTGTCAGCCCATAGAGTTGAGTGTCTCATCCAGAAGTCAGACGTAGCATATTCGCCGCGATGTCCCAGGAAAGCTTCTGTGGCCATCTGCGATATAAGGGTTTGGATCAGGTTGGTCCTGTCCAGACAATCAAGACAGTTCGTCCGGAATATACCTTCTTGCTGGAGAACCACTACCATGCGGTTCGAGCCTTGGTAGTCGTTGTTGTCTGTAGCTCCATCATCCGACTCTTCGGCCAAGTAGTAGGCAAATCCATCTATCGACGTTTCAATGTATCTGCGAATCTGACGTGCCGCTTCGTAACCTCCCGGCCCTTTCGTCTCGGCATGGAAGTCATAGTGCGTTTCTCTTAGTAGCGCGTGGTCTTGCGATTCTTCCTCGCCAACCTGGCTTAGTGGACAATGCTCTATCCCCAGATGATACAACTGGCTGAGCTGTGCCTCGCCAGGCTTGCCCTCGCTCAGTAGGTTAACGACATGCACAGCACCATAGGCCTGCTCCAGATCCGCAAAGTGCTTGTTGAATGCCGGCTGTGCTCCTTCTGGCGATCTAATGACGGTGATATTCTGCTTGCCGGGGATGAGCTCCGCCGTCTGCTCCCAAAACAGCGGAACCGAGCCTCTGACCTGGGCGTACGAGAAGAGGGTACCTCCTGGGCTCCAGTAGATGGTCTCTGTCTCTACAAAGTTGGCGACGTTGCCATCATCGTCGATTCCTCTCGAGTTGAAACGTGTGCCAGCTCTACGGCAGGATAGTCGTGATACGACGGTTAGGTACGAAGGCAAACCGCTCGATCGCGTCTTCAATGGGGCGCTTGTCTGCGGGATCGCCATTGTTCGACAAAAGCCACGGATGGCAGAGGTTAGAAACCTTGATGAATCTAAAGCTTCCCGCTCTTGGGGCAACAGTCGTGATCGAAACTGGACCAGCGGGCTGATCATGTACGAATTCCATAGATACGAATCGTCAAAGTTGTCGATGTCAAACGTGTACGAGTTCACAGTTCTAAACAGTCAGCATGCTGCAATTACAGCGGGGATTCCCAAGCATTACCTGTCCTGCAATCTGTTCGTCAAATCGAAATCGGTGCTGTAGTAGAAGGTGCCATTGCCCAGAAGCTTGCGAAGGTCTGTACATGGATGCTCCACTTGAACCTCTCGCCCTCTGAGGTTCTGGCCATACAAGGCACTGGCGTCTGACGCTTCGGAGTCCAAAGGGTCCAGAGAAACAACGTCGTCCCACTCGCTACTGTTGAGACAGAAGAAGGCAACGCTTGCGATCCGCTCCACGGTCTCCCCCGGCCTAAGGGTGGCGACTCTGGTAGCATGTGTCACGACGGAAAGGAACACGTCGCCCTCGACGGATATCAGACCCAGTGTTCCAAAGATCGGTCGTGGGGTCAAAGGGCGGTAGTCGGCCAGAGTTTTTCTTGTGATCTGAGTGAATTCGACCATGCATTTCGATACGCCACCGTCGCCATTTGGCCGTGACCGGGTAGATGCGAGCGAGGTAAGGGAGCCGTTTGTGCCGGTGCTGACGGAGCTGTAGCGGAATATGAGGGCGTGGGACGACGAGACAAGGGCGATGGATCGATGGGGATAGTCGCGAATGTAAAGGCGACTAGACTTTTCTGGTGCAGGCACTTGAGCAGCCCATGATCCGGAGTTAATGTTGTCCATGGTAGGTGGGAGGTGTTGCTCAAGGACTCGGGGAAGCTGCGCAGTTGTCGCAGAGCATGCTTGGTGAAGGATGCCGGTTCTAGTTCATCCAAGGGCGCCGTCTCTGGGGGGCCGCAAATAGAGGCTCGGCGACGACTCGGGGAGAAAACAGGTCGCAGCGGCACTTCAGTTTCGTGAAGGAACGTGGGATCGCGCAATGAGTGAAAGTTGTGAGGTTTACAATGGCGAACGTCGTGGCTGACTGAAGGAGAATCTGGTTCGCTAATACGGAGCCCGACAATGACGTCCGTCCCGCCATAGGTACCAGGGGTTTTGGATGCTGGGCCGCTGTATCACTAGCACCCACGCACCTAGACTTCGACTGGACAGGCAGCTCGCTTCTCGTTTCAGCCTCACGGACCACCTTTGCTACCTGAAAGGCAGGGAAGGAAATACGTACCTTGGCACGGCATCTTGTAGACCCTGAACACGACATTTCTACCCAAAAGATTTCCAACTCAGGCGGAGCCAGCGCGCGACTTGGGTTGCTAACGACCTATCTCGGCCCAGCACCCGAAAGCGGCGATATCTTAGGTTCCTCAGGATCCAAAGTTGCTAGTGTTGCGGTCACAAACTTCCATTAGGAGAACTGGTGACGCAAACGCCAGAGATGCGATGAACCTCCGCCAGAAGCCATCGGGAAAGACATCTTCAAGGCATCCGAGCGTAAAAATTTGACAGTCGCGTAGTTGCAAGCGACTTTTGTATCATCTTGACACTCACTGTCTTGCTACATGATCAACAAATATCGGGATCACTGGTCGTCACCTTGCGCGTCAAGACAACTCGACATCACTACTTGAATATGGATTAAGGCCCATCAGATCGAACAAGGCCCTTTTAAGAAAAAAACAGGCATCAGCGCATCCTAGGCAATTATAACTTCACTGTGCTGGAGGCGCAACTGAGTTAACCCCAGATTTTGTACGCTTCTGGGACGTCCCAACTTAATTTCCCCAGAAACTCTTTGATGCAAGTGTCACTGCATGTGCCCCAGAAGTAGTTGCCCGTATCCAAAGGCAGCTGTGGTAGTCTCGCTAACCGGCTTGCCATCGCTACAACTCGTAACTATGCCGATGATGATGATAATGTGTGGCTAAATCATATCTCAAACATCCTCGAGAGCATCGACTCAAGGGCCATTTCCGCATACGAACATGCCATTACTACCGTGAGTATTATCGCAATGCATGAAAATACACCGTTCACCGCAACTGTACAGCTTTGCGCAACAGACTTTGCTGAGGTTTCATGTAGGTCGACTACCGCCCACTTTCACACAAACAGTCGATTCGCTTCTCTTTACAGTTATCTCTCCAGGGTTGGAGACTTGCTAGGTTTCCGCCACTTGGCCTGCTGCTTGTAGTATGCCTGCCTCCACATCGAACAGAATGGTTAGACATGCCTCATAAATCCTACCTTCGCCAAGATTGACACGTGTAGCGCAAGAAACCGTTGTCGCTCCCGTTTCACCTGGAGCATATTATACCGATGCCTGCCAGGATCAAGGGGGGGGTGGGGTTGTAGTGCAACTCTGTTGGCGGCTCTGTAGTATCGACCAAAAGCCACGAGGCCGATGAGACCTGCTATTCACAGGTTTGACGTATTTGCACTGCCACAGTCGCGGTGCAGATCACTAGGCCGCGAGGATAACAATAGCAGTTGCGCGTCATATTCCACACGTGCAAATCTCTTAACTTCAAGCCACGCAAGCACGGAAAGCTGCTGCAGCTGTGGATGAGTTGTGATCGCACATGGTTTGCGGTGGCATTTTTCTCTACCTAGGTTTTGCATACGAACGAGATTCAGACTCAGTCGCGCCCCACGGGTAGCGAGTGGCTGAAATCCACCAAGATGAACAAGTGGTAATAGACTGCAATCTGGTAATTGAAGAAATGCCCAGTTGAAGAGACTTCGAACTTGGTCACAGGCCCGAATAGTAGTTTCGAATTGATCAAGGCGTGTGGGGGAGAACATGAAAAAGGAAACGATGTGAAAATGAGACGTTGAAAACCTAGACAGAAAATCCCCCGCGGGCGCAGGAGTGGCGTAATCAATGCTTGCGCAGACCAGGCTTCAGATATAATATTGAGATCACGCTGCCACCATGGGTGGTCAGTCATTCTCTTCCTATCATGTGTTATTTGAGAATCATCACGAGCCTTATTGTGAAGGAGAGAAGAAAAGAGGAGGAAAGGTTTTTCATTGATATCGAACGTCAAATAGGCCCCACGTTTAGCCAACCGCTTACCTAATAGAGACAGCGAAGCGAGAGAGAAAAGGAATAGGGGGGGAACCACCTGACGACAACATTGCCCCACATCTTCAACGTCCATCAGTCGGTCTCTTTCCAGAATCCGAAGTGTTGTGCATGCACACAAGAGAGGCCGAGAGGGGCCAGGGCAGATAGAAAGGCCACAGGGAAAAGGTGGGATGACCCATCCTTACGCCGCCCTCCCTAGGTAGGCAACTGATGAGCGGAAAGCACCCGCAGCACGCCTTCGTGTACAATACTGCGCTTGCGACCAGGGCCTACTATACGTAGATAAGCACTGAGGTGTGTAAGGCTTTTGGCACAAGTACCTGCCGTGGTTGTACCTCGCGCCCTGCGCGGGCGGACTGGCGACCGCCTGACGTCTACTAATAGCTTTTGGCTGAACTTGTTCGCTTCTCCGCCGCGTCACTGATAAAGCACTGAGAGCAAGGGTCTGCCTGCCAAGGTGTGTACATCAGCTCCGCGTACCGTTGCATCTGGTTCGCGCAAAGGAGGACGAACATGGTCCCCCGTTTTCCAATTGGAGACGTGAGGTACAGGTGCAGCCCCAGTCCCTTAGCGCTGTTAAAAAATATCCAGCCCCCTTCCTTTCGCGACCTCGAAGCTTGACCCGGCCATCCACGATTCCCAACGGCAACAGCCTCAACGCTCGCGGTGCCTTCATTCAACCATCTGCAACCCGCCCCTGCCGCCTGCTGCTGTTCATCCGGGCCTTGCGCATTGTCTGACCCATCTTCGAAATCCAACTTGTTCTGCCATTCGTTATCCGACCCGCGCTCGCCATGTCTGATTACGACCACTTCGGGAGCTCTGAGGAGGAGAGCGCCGAGATTAAGAAGCTCCAGGCTGATGTGGTATGTCTGACTGCGATATCGTCTACTTCGTCGCACCCATCATCAAATCCAAACTGAGCAGTCGCTAACCCGTCTCGCGAGCACAGGATGCCGATCCCGATAACTTCGAGACCTGGGAGAAGCTGATCCGCGCCTGCGAGGGCTTGGAGGGCGGATTGAACCGCAACTCCAGCCCCCAGGCCCTGGCTACTCTTCGCGATGCATACGACCGTTTTCTCCTCAAGTTCCCTCTGCTCTTTGGCTACTGGAAGAAGTACGCCGATCTCGAGTTCAATATCGCTGGGCCCGAATCAGCCGAGATGGTGAGTTGCTGTCGCACCGCGCAACGCACCGCGCAACGCACCCCTTGCTTCTGGGCTGCGGCTGACGGAGCGCGTTTCTAGGTTTACGAGCGAGGATGCGCCAGCATCACCAATTCTGTCGACTTGTGGACCGACTATTGCTCCTTCAAAATGGAGACTACCCACGTCCCACACCTCGTCAGAGAGTAAGTATTTGATGGCCGGCTTTCCTTCCCCTTAACATCACCATCACCACAGCATGCCTCACCGGCCGCTCAACACCTCGATCGAGCGATGCATGGGCCTCACCCGCCGCCTTCCTCACAAGTATTCGTCGGTGAGAAATGCCAACAGCAGCCCCAATGTTGGGATGCCCTCTCACGCTAGTAGTTACCAGGCCATGCTGATTTCCACTTGACGATGACTGATCCATTGTCCGCTTCACGTCGCATCTTCACCACGTCGCCCCCATTGGAACACCTTACGTTGGGCTTGGATTCGCTAGTTGATTTCATTTGATACCCCTTCCTGTATAGCCCGCCTTCCCCATAACTCCTGCCACTCCCCTTCCCCAGTCATTGTCTGTATACTGATCCTCTATTCCAGACTTTTCGAACGCGGTGCTACCTGCGTCGGCTTAGACTTCCTCGCCCACCCCTTCTGGGATAAGTACATTGAATATGAGGAGCGCCAGGAGGCCCAGGACAAGATTTTTGCCATTCTGTCCCGCGTCATCCATATCCCTATGCACCAGTATGCCCGGTATTTCGAGCGTTTCCGCCAGCTATCCCACAGCCGTCCCGTGACCGAGCTGGTCCCCGCTGAGACGTTGGCCAAGTTTCAGGCTGAGGTCGAGGCTGAGAGTGCTCAGTTTGCTGGCGTTCAGCGAACGGAACTCGAGATTGAGCGTGATGTTCGCACCAAGATTGACGCCATGTACTACGAGTACTTCACTCAGACCCAGGCCGAGACAAACAAGCGATGGACCTACGAATCCGAGATGAAGCGGCCTTACTTTCACGTGACGGAGCTGGAGAGTTCTCAGCTCGCTAACTGGCGTAAATACCTCGACTTTGAGGAATCTGAAGGCAACTTCACCCGTATCGTCTTCCTTTACGAGCGGTGCTTGGTGACCTGTGCTTTTTACGACGAATTCTGGTTCCGGTACGCCCGGTGGATGTCTGCGCAGGAGGGCAAGGAGGAAGAGGTTAGGATCATCTACCAACGAGCGGCTACTCTGTATGTGCCTATCAGCCGTCCGGGCATCAGGCTGCAGTTTGCCTACTTTGAGGAGAGCTGTGGGCGCGTTGACATCGCTCGCGATATTCATGCGGCAATCCTCATGAAACTCCCCGACTGCATCGAGGTCATCACCTCCTGGGCTCACCTCCAGCGCCGTCAGAGCGGCCTGGACGCGGCTATCGAGGTGTTCAAGGCGCAGATTGACTCTCCCCATGTGGATATCTTCACCAAGGCTGCTCTTGTTACCGAATGGGCCCTCTTCCTGTGGAGGGTTAAGGGCTCTGTCGAAGAGGCACGCAATGTGTTCCTCAAGAACGTGCAGTGGTATGCCGACAGCCGCGTCTTCTGGAACAAATGGCTCGAGTTCGAATTGCAACAAGCCACAAGCACGGAGCTGGAGGACCAGCATGGCGATCGCGTCAAGCAGATTTTTGATGAACTCCGGAACAAGAGCCGCCTGTCAGCTTCGACGAAGAAGGAACTGTACCAGATTTACTTGTCCTACCTGCAGCAGCGGGGCGGCAAGGATGCGATGAAGCAGTTTTTGACTGTTGACAGGGAGATTTTCGGGTACGCCACAGCTCTCACGCAGCAACACTTGGATGACGCTAACAACGGTACAGGCCAAGCTCCATTTCCCTGCTCAACAAGGCGACCGCCAATGGCAAAGAGAACGTGATAGCCGGCGCTGAGATGGACGAAGCGACCAGATACCGGGCTGAAGCCAGATACCTCAGATACTATGAACTTCAGGGCGAACCAGAACTCGAGAACCAGGCGACAGCGCCTTTCAACTAGGCGGCGCCAACTCACCGAGCGCATTTCTTCTTTGCTCCAGGAGCTCCCCCGCCACTTGGGTAGCTGCTCCTGGGGAATTTTGTAATATACGACTCGTTTGACAACAGATCATGCTTGGGTGGTAGGACTCGGGGAAATTGTACTGTATGCAGTGTTTATGAGGTGGCCTAAACAGACCATGATGGGAAGGAACCATCTTCAGGCACCACGGGTTAACCCGATCTCACCTTTCGAGGTTTGCGAATCGATCATCGACGCAGACAATAATAGCTCAATAACGTTCAAAGAAACAACTATGCTTGTGCAGTTTTGTGTAGAGTCCAATGGCCCATGGGCTGTTGTAAAACTATTCGCGCCGGCGACCATCTGGTGTCCGATGCAGCGGTTAAGGTACGGACAATGCCGCCGAACGAAAGCGGGAACCGCCGGGTTTCCCGGGCAAAGCGCCACGGGGGTGCAGGGGTAAGTTGCGCCGGCCAAGGCAAGGGCTCGACAAATATACGTAACTTTGGCACCATGAAAAGATGTCACGCATGATAAGGTCTATATTGAACTTATTCGACATCGTGGCATTCTAGACACGACGACGCGCAAGTGAATGACTCCACGTAACTAGAAAAAGCATAAGATGTAATAGACAGAGAGCCTCGGTGCGTGCAGGTGGCTGACAACGTTAGTGGGACTACGTATAGAAGATGGAGGCTGAAATCTGATGGCCAGATTAGTCAGCAACGATAGTGGTCGGGTGACTCTTGGTTTTTTCCATCAGGAACTTTTTGATCCGTTCCGAACACAAAGCCAAGGGAGCGGGCTGTTTGCCCAGGACGTTTCCCCTCGGCTGAGGCGCCGCTGAACGGATCGACATTGCCGTTTCAGGTCGGAAGAGCGGAAAATGCTGGATGTGTCTATCAACGAGCTAGTCGCGTTTATGTATTCCAAACCCCCGCTGTCTAGTCTGCTCCTGCATTGTACTAGATAGTGTGCACAGCTTTGTTGGCGATTTGGCGTGAGCTGGAGGGGGAGTATCCGAGTCCACCGGCAGTGAGGAGCAGACAGGGTGGATGGCGACGACGGCGTACTTCTGAGCGTCATTGAATGTCCCCGAACGGCCGGTTTAGGGCCTGATTGGCAACGGCGGCGAAGTTGGATAACAGCCTGTACCTCGAATAAGAGCTACTTATTGATTAGCTAATTGCTGCCAAGTGAAACCTTGGCCTACAAGATGTACTATCGCCATCCTTGTGCCTAATTACTTACCTTACTGCCTTCCTTTTGCTACACAAGGCCTATAGGATAAGCTTTATTACCCCTCCTTATAATACTATTAATACTAGCGTACTTTATAGTTACAAGTAAAGTTATTATTATTATTATTATTATTAAATACTATAATAAATAACTAGTAGTAAGAAGAAGGCTTATTAATTAATAATAATAGTATAGTTATTACTATACCTATTATTAAAGACTTAACTAAAAGTATAGTCTTACTACTATAGCTAAAAAGGTAATAAAGAGTTAAATAGCTATAGCTAGGTATAAGTAATAAAAGTAGTAAAGTTATTTTTTCTTTAGTAAATAAAAGTAATAATATATAACTATTTATTAGAAGTATTAGTTAAGCTAAAAAAAGGCTTTATATACTATAGAATACTAACTTAACTTACTACTTTATAACTAAGCTTATTATACTTTACTAAAGCTATAAGCTAAATACCCTTAAGGTAGCTATATAAAAGCTAGCCTTTAATAAGCTTACTAAGTAAATAAATTTATACTACTAGTTTTATAGTACTATAATAGGTAAGTAACTAAGTAATAAGTATAATATTAAAAAGAAAAGATATAATACCTAGGCAAGTATTACTTATAAATTAGGTAATATATATACTAATAATAGTAAAGTCTTCTACACTAAAGAGGCTAAAGATACCTTTTTTACTAACTACCTATAGTATAAATAAGTATTTAAAAGAGGGTTAAGGCTACTAGACCTATACTATAAGATATAAAGTAATATATATAGTAAAGGTAATAATATTTAGTCTATAAATAATTTATTATAGGAGGTAGATTCTTTAGGTAAAAAAGAAGGTGCCTATAATAAAGAGGAAAATAGTATTAATAAAACTATATTATTAAATTAGCCTAGTTAAGTATTACTAGTATTACTATTAATAGAATATACCTTAAGCCTAATTTAGTGCTAATAGTTACTACTATCTTTATTTTTACTAGTTTAAAAGTAAAGTAAAGCTTCCTTAGGTACTAAAGCTAGTATATATATAGGCTAATTATTATAGTAGTTTAAGTACTATATAATAGTAATAAAGGATAAAGATATATAAGATAAGCTAATATAGTAAAAGGTTATAATAACCTATATATAGGCTAACTTAGTAAAGTTTAAAGAGAAGCTAGACCTTATAGTCTATCTAGCTATATCTTTAACGTTAGTAATAAAGCTAAAGGGGTTACTTATACTATAAGTAGTATATTAGAACTTTTTACTTAATAATTAGCTAAAAAAGGCATATATTACTTATATTACTGCCTAGTAGACAGAGGGTTAAAAAAGAGTAGTTAGATAAGTTAAAAAAGGGTAGTTAAATAGGTTAAAAAAAGGTAGTTAGATAAGTTAAAAAAAAGTAGTTAAATAAGTTAAAAAAAAGTAGTTAGATAAGTTAAATAGTTACTAGTTATTAGTGTTTTTTTACTTACTATAGTATATAAAAAAAACTATACTTTTTTACCTTTTTACTAGCTACTATTACTATAACTCCTCTGCTGTCTATTAGTAAATAATAACCTTACTTTACCCTTTATATAACTAGTTAGCCTTACTTTTAATTATAATAACATTAATATCCTTAGGTATTTCTTTTTATTAATCTCTTTTTTATAATAATAAATAAAGAAGTTATATAAGGCTATAACTATATATATAATTTTTACTTAGGTTATAATCTTATACTTTAGTGCCTACTTACTAAGGATTTACTACTTTCTTTTTAACTAGCTAAAGACCTACTTAACTATAACATAAAGGTAACTATAGTATAAGTTATATAGCTCTTCTACTGTTTTAGGTAGTTACCTAGAATCTCTTTAGTCTTATAGATAATAATATATTTAACTATAGGGAAGTATAATACTACTTTATTTACTAAACCTAGTATCTACAAGGAAATATTAACCTTCTAGGACACTAAATCCTCTGTTAAAGGTATAAAAGAGTAAGCTTATATTATATATTAATCCTTTAGCTCTAGTAAGTATATATAAGAAGCTTTTATTAAAGTAGACTACTATAAAGATATTTATAATATAGTGCCCTTATAACTTTACTATATAATTTATTTATTATTTAGTAGGTATATAAGTATTAAGGTCTTATTAATAATGCCTATATAACTAGTAAATTTTTTTCTTTTCTTGTTAATCTTTATTTTAAGTAAAACTTTACTTTTTAATAGCCCTCTTATATATACCTTATAAAAAATAATAAGGTATAGTATAACCTTATTAAACACTAGTAAAATAGTTAACTAACTAACCTTAAAGAAGTAACTAGTAGTCTACTATAACACCTAAATTATAAGAATATAAAGATAAATAAGTACCTTTTACTTAACTATTAACTATTATAATAATTATAGTAGTATATTATTTTATAGCTACTTTATAAGTATATAAAACTATCTTTTACTTATATAAAAAGAGTTATAAAAGTAATAATATAACCTATTAAGTAACTACTAGTAAAATTACTATACCTCTATTATACTACCTTTATTAACTACCTCTTTTTTAACTACTAGCTAGCTATAGCTAGATATAGTTATAATAGTAGTAATATAGGCTATAGTAACTACTAATAGTTAAGTGTAATCTATTATAAAGTGCTACCTAAGGTTTTACTAAGTTAGATAATAGTTAGATATTATTATAGGTACCTTATAAAGACCTTATAATAAAATAGGTAGCAGCAAGACAGTTATCTAATATTTCCCCTCTTTTAGGCAGTAGAAAAGTCATTCTTATTAAGGTACATGTTGAAATAGTAAGGTTTCTTATAGGCAAACTCTGCTGATAAAAAAGGGGCCCTTTTTGGCCTAGCGCAGCATTTATTCAGTTTCTGACTAATATTTCCCCTCACGTTATCCAAGTTGGCGCGTTATCCAACATTTCCGCCGTTGCCGATCAGGCCCTTAGTGGCGCGTCCACGTATAAAAAGAATCGGAGTGGGGGAGGGGGGATCCTTGTAATTGATGTGAAAGCCCGGGATGAGTCCTCGAGAGCAAATTCCGAAAAGTTTTTGTGTGTGGTAAGCTATCGTGCCGAAGCCGCAGCCGAGCCGTCATTAAGCTGAATGTGCACGGAAACAGCATGACAGAAGCGGATTCGTTCGGTGTTCCAATTCGTAGGCGCCGGGCACCCAGTCAGATCCGCGGAGGAGATTGACACGGCTCACGGAATGTAGGCTCGAGTCGACGATGGAGACACTGGATGGATATGATTCCCCGAGGAAGCCGGCCGACTCGCCGAGGGCTCTGGAAACGTGGTCATAGGGCAACCAAACCTTTTATGGAAGTCAAGAACGCAGAGGACTAACTGCCGATGTTTGCCAGCAACCATGTTTGCTTATGAGATCTGAGTTCTAACGCTCGGAGATGCTCAAAGGAAGATTTCACTCTCCAGTATGGGAGGACGAACCAAAAGAGGGAGGGAGAGAAGAAAGAAGAAAAGAAAAGAAAAAAAACTTTAACTCAGCAAAGGAAAGCCACATGGCGTGCTTCGGTTCCATCAGCTCGAACCATATCAATATTGTGTAACGTATCTTGCGTTATTAGGCCTTATCTCTTGCAGATATGTAGAACGTTGATGCCAGTCCTTAGCTCGCGCCGGGCCACACCATACGGGCAAGGCGACCGGCGTGTTGAGAGTGAGTCTGAGAGGGAAGTGAGCCCCACCACGGCAAGCCAGCAAACGTGAATGAGACCATTGGACCCTCATCGCTGCTCAAACACGCGTCCACGATCCCTGCAGGCAGCCCCCCTCCCCCCCGTAAGGAAAAGGAAATAGCGGCACCTGGCAGGCCCTTGCCAGGACTGGAGCTCCTGCTTCTGACCACTCAGAAGCCACCAATTTCTCATTTCACAGGAGCGGTACCTTCCTCGGTCCCTGGGCCAGAGGAAAACTGACTCTAGGTAAGTTGGTAGGTAACAGTGTTGAGCCGGGCCGGGTACATTAGTATTTCTCAAACGCCCCCGGGGCAACGAGTACTCGGGATTTAATCTCGAGACCCTCCTCCCTCCTTCTCCTTTCGAAGCTTCTCTTCTTTCTTTTTTCCTGCGTCTTCCTCCTTCGTCATCGCAATTGTCTTGTCCATCTGCCTTGATACTCCGTAACCTCTTCATACATACCAGCTTCCAGCAAGGTCAGTACCGCCCGGTCTCTTCCCGCGGCTTACACACATGGGCACATACAATCTTGTTAAGCTTTTCCCACGTTTTCTTTTATCAAAATATCCCGATACACTCGTATCATTGCAACACAACCACAGAACCCGTGGGCTAACACCCCCCCTCCCAAACAGATGGCCGCTTCCACGAGACAGTTCGCCCGCGCGGCGCTGAGAACCTCCACCAGAACCTCCTTCGCCGTCGCTCCTCGCCAGGCCTTCCGCCAGCAGGGCCGCCGCTTCTACTCCTCCGAGCCCGCCAAGTCTGGCAGCTCAACCTGGCTTTGGCTCTCCGGTCTGGCCGTCGCCGGTGCCGGTGGCGTCTACCTCTACACCAAGGAGGGCGGCGTCTCTGCCGGCTCGACCGCCAAGGTCGTCAACCCCACCAAGGCCGACTACGAGAAGGTTTACAAGGTTATCGCCGACCGCCTCGAGGAAAACGACGAGTACGATGACGGCAGCTACGGCCCCGTCCTCGTCCGCCTCGCCTGGCACGCTAGCGGTACCTACGACAAGGAGACCAACACTGGCGGCAGCAACGGTGCTACCATGCGTTTCGCCCCCGAGTCCGACCACGGTGCCAACGCTGGCTTGAAGGCTGCCCGCGACTTCCTTGAGCCTGTCAAGCGTGAGTAGAAAACCCCCAAGCCCCTATGCGATCGAGTCTGGAAAAGCATCCTTGCCGTCTCGTTGCCACCGTTGGATACAACTTGCTGACTGTCTCTCGCAGAACAATTCCCTTGGATCTCTTACTCTGACCTTTGGATCCTTGGCGGTGTTGCCGCCATCCAGGAGATGCAGGGTCCCATCATCCCCTTCCGCCCCGGCCGCAAGGACGGTGAGGCCGCCGCCTGCACCCCCGATGGCCGTCTCCCCGACGCCTCCAAGCGCGAAAAGCACCTCCGCGACATCTTCTACCGCATGGGTTTCAACGACCAAGAGATCGTTGCCCTAGCCGGCGCTCACGCACTCGGCCGTTGCCACACCGACCGCTCCGGCTTCGACGGACCCTGGACTTTCTCTCCCACCGTCATGACCAACGACTACTACAAGCTGCTCCTCAACGAGAAATGGCAGTGGAAGAAGTGGGACGGTCCCGCTCAGGTAAGATTTGCAGCCACCCGGCAGACGTGAGTGAATTGATCGCTGACGGTATTGTGCAGTACGAGGACAAGGGCACCAAGTCCCTGATGATGCTTCCCGCCGACTACGCTCTGATCCAGGACAAGACGTTCAAGAAGTACGTCGAGCAGTACGCCAAGGACAACGAGGCCTTCTTCAAGGACTTCTCCAACGTAATTGTCAAGCTGTTTGAGCTTGGCGTTCCCTTTGCCCAGGGCGCCGAGGAGCGCTGGACCTTCAAGCCCACTCGGCAGGATTAAACAGTCACTTGGAACAGTGGCTGTGACCAAGGAATGTCTTTGTGTCTGAAGAGAAAATAGAAGGAGAGAAGAGGATGAAGAAGCAAAACCTGGAGAGATATTAGACATAGATGAGAGATATCCACGCCATCGGCGTACCGAAAGAGAGCGGGGAAGCGAGGGCCTGCTGGATGCCCTCGAGGTTTTGATTTAGGCGTGCCGAACCATCGACCTGTGATCCACTGCTGGACTTGTTTCTATATTTGCTGTTTTGCGTCTCGTAGTTCCTGTACAATACCAGAACGAACATTGAAAGACACACCTCGCAATCGTTACTACTGGCGACGATTCCGCAGAGCCATACCATTGTGAGTAAACATGAAGTCGGAATAGAGATCAGATAGGATGGGGGGGGAGAAAGGGATTCCCGACGCTGAATGATCCGCACCAGCACACCCCCGGTATAACAGGGCTTTTCCCCCCTCACCATCTCCTGCACGCCTGGGAAAGTCTTGCACGCCGGGGGCCTGTTCGTCGCGTCATGAGCAGTCTGCGACAAATGGAGGGGAAGTGAGGGGATGAAAAGGTGTGGCTCAATCCCGGCCATCTGGTACAGCACCTCGGCCAGCCACTGCCATCTGCATAGGTACTCTTGGCGTCACTGCACCCCGGAGTGGAACATGGGCGAGCGTTGGTTCCCCGCATTGTTTCTATTCCCTTCCGTCGGGTTTGCGTCGCATTTCCTTTTGTAAATCCCAGTCTTGCCGGTTTCCGGGATGTGTGTGTATGCATGTTTGAGTGTAGTCCCAGGGGGTGATCCTATGACGTTGATGACGTGTGATTACTATGGACCTGGGCATGGGTATCGATCTGCTCACGAGCGGTTCCGGCGGGGAAAGCTTTTGGCGGCGGGAGTTGGGTGGACGAACTTCCAGGTGTAATTGATGGTGTTGAGCGAAGGTGGAGAAAACATTTGAGATACGCTCGCCCTTGGTCCGATGCTGGTAGGAGGAAGGAGCTGCGTGCGGCGGCACGACGGATTGTCCTCTCGGAACGTACTTGCAGCTGGCAATGGGGCACCGTGCTGCGTCTGAGTAACACAACCGACTTCTATGATTGATTGGCGACGAGCCCATTGACTCTTGTGTGTTCCCGGCGTCGCTGGAGCGATCGGTTTAGGGTTTGTGCAGTGTAGCGGTCCGGTTGAGGTCGAGAGAGGACCACTGAGCTAGAGACGTTTCTTGGATGCGTCACATGCCGGTTTCTCTAACATCGTCATCATCAGTGATGCAGGTTAGTCGCGTTTCTTGAGCTCTCGCACAAAAGGCTCTTGATTGATATCTACGGAAGAAGTATACGTTACTGTGCATGCTGGGCGAGCAGAGCGCTTTTCTCGACAACGGGGAGGTCGAGGCCGTGAGATATTTTGATTGCCCAGCAGGTCTGGTCGGGACTGGCCTCACAATGGTTCGCAAAAAGCATTTATTTCTGCGAAGAAATAGAAGTAGACTTGCGAAACTAGAAGATGTTACCGTGTCGGCGGTAGTGCTCTTCGGCTGAGATCTGGCTAAGAATACCGTAGCTGGTTCTCGGGTTTGCGGGTAAGGGAATTACTGTAGCTTGTCCGGTCTCCCGCCTGAAGTGGTTACTCGTGTCGCAAGTTGCGTTCGACGAGATGACGGTTGATCTGGTATTTTGGAAGGAAAACTATAGAGGATGTCCGTAGCAATAATAACTACGATACCTAATGGTTGAGTAATTTGTGGTGAGGAGCCGAGCCGCTCAGTAGGGATGGGTTAAAAACAAATACGTCCGCATTGCCACAAGCTGTTTTAGGTAGGCTTTGGTAGCAATTGAGAGGGCTGATAGATAGCGAACATGGGCACTTTCTTTCGAACACTGGAGGGGGTTCTCGGAGTCGAACCTCCGCGTTGCGATTCAGGTTTAAATCGCGGAGAAAATTCCCGGCGCAGTCCAAGAACCGTCGGCCTTTGGCCGCGCCGAAAACCGGCCCCACTATCGGTGGCCCCACAGGAGCTTTCTGATTGAAGACGCTGCGGCCTCCAAATGACATTATCAAAAAACACCATTCTTTTCAACCATCCGTCCCATCGCCACCAACGCCACCGCTCGCGATCGTTTTGTGAAACAGCATTAGGGGAGGATCAAAACAGAAAAACCTACCGCACACAATGGCGTCCTGCCGTATCCCCGCCCTGCGGCACATCGTCACCTCCTCGGCGCGCGCCTTCCGAGTCTCGAACCAGCGCCGCTGGGCCCAGGTCCACGACGTGCGCTTCCTCGCCACGACCCAGCAGCCCCGAACCGTCGTCGAGAAATACCGCGCCAAGCTCGAGCAGAAGGCGCGTCAGGAGGGCGTCTCCAATATTGACGAGCTCAAGGCCGCCTACGCCGACAAGATCCAGGAGCAGAGGAAGAAGGACGCCATCTCGGTCCCCGGGCTGGACAGCCTCCTCAATGACGAACCTGCACCCGCGGCGATCCCCACAACAGCGACCAGCGCGTCCGAAGGCGCCCCCCAGCAGAAGCAGCCGCCGATACCCGGCTCCTCGGGCAACGGCATCAAGCCCCTCGACGAGATCCTCGACCTCCCAAAGGTGCGCGACCTTCCCGACAAGGAGCTTACGGCGATCTGGCGCCTACGTCACGCCTCCGACCCGACGAGCCTCTGCGCCGTGATCCCGACCCCGGCATACCGCGTGATGGAGGCCCTCGCGAAGCAGAACCCGCAGTTCATCCTGCCGGTGCCACACGAGGAGCAGGGCGCCGAGATCCACTTCCTGCAGTGGGTGTTCGACAGGGCCTCGCGCACGGCGACGGTCATGTTCACTCAGCTGGCTGAGTTCAAGGCGCGCGGCGAGTTCGCGCAGCCGCATACGACCATCACCCACCACACGGACCTGGCGGACGACAGGGGCGTGGTGCTGATGCATGGCAAGTGCCTGGAGGACCGGGGCGTCAAGACGGCGCACGCGCAGTGGCTCGTCATGTGCCTGCAGAGGTTCTACGGCGATGCGGAGGGTAAGGAGAGGGCTTCCGAGAGGCAGAAGCTGCTAGAATGGTTCCGCACCGGCGACGAAAGGTTCAGCGTCGACAAGTTGATGGAGGAGGCCGAGCGTATTGGTTGAGTTGCGGCTTGGTGGAAATTTTGTAGCAGATGGGGAAAAAACAGTCAAGCATCAATTGCTTGTTGGTGGAATAAAGAACAGCCGTAGTGCGCCCAGACGTGCCATGCCGGTGCGAACTGAGGATGTGTCATCCTAGAATACCTCATCTATGCGAGAGGCATGGATGAGTGACCCTTGAAGGGATGCCTTTGTACAAATGATCCGATGGGATATGTAGAACAATTCATATATACCATATTTCTATTACTCTGCCAAACAGCCCCTTTTGAGGTCGCAATTCCGCGTGTCAAGTTACCTTCAACAACTGCAAGCCTGTCGACTGAAAAGGGGGGATACCACAGGCTCTAGTGATCGAATGCCTGGCCTTGGTTTGCCAGGAAGCTCACGTGCGGACATTGGGGGAAAGGAGAGCCATCCCTTGGGGGAAAGGAGCCAGCCTCCGATGCTAAAGCGGGCCTGTTGACATGCGGTCCCTTCAAGGCTCGAGGAAGCCGCTACAGTTTGGTAAGGAGAAGGTAAAATAAGCGCCGCCATACTGTCATATCTTGGCTGGGAATATCTGAGAAACAACGAGTGCAGACGAGGCAAGACGAGGCACGCTCAACGTGGCGGTGAGCTTACAAAAGCAGCACATCGCTTACCTTCCCAAACAGTAGATGCGGTACAACTCAATCTGTATCTTGAAACCGATAGGCACAATGCACATATTCACCGGTCCGTCTTTGGGCACTCGGTTAGCGTTACGGCTGTTACTTTCCATCTCCGTGGTTCAATGGTGGGATGGGCAAGTATATCACACAGCTGGGTGGCTTTCTAGGGGCATAAGAACCCAGCCTAAATATCGGCTGTCCATGCTGCGTTGACGGGAGACAGTACCATCGCAATCTGTCAATACGAAGGTCTAGTCTGAGTACCTGTGCTCAACGCTGCATCTGCCATGTTATTCTTTGGGGGCATGGGAATAAGCGGCGCAGTCCGCCCCTACAGGGCAAAGGTTTTCAATAGTTGGACTGCTACTAGAATTTCAAGCAACAGCTCCAGAGATTAGTTGCCAACCGGACGAGGCAGAGCCCAAAAAGCATATATGTCAACCGCAGACTAATTCTCACGGCAGTCTCGACTCACCTGAGGCTGCCTACCAAACTCTTCCGAGGGAAAGCAGCCTAGGTCAACATTTTACGCACAATACACATACCGCTCTGGTCAGCACTCCCTTTGTGACAATCCAGGTGAGAGGCATCCCCACCAAGCTGTACCTATCTCGAACAGCCCTGCGAAGGCGACAGATTCAAGCTTCCAGAAGCGGAGGGACCTGCTCCATGGCGATTTACTTCAACGCCGTGAGTTCCTTCTTCACTTGCGCTGAATCACCAAGTGGATGGCTCAGCGCGTCTAAAGCAACATGTAACTCGGTCACCGTTCCCTACATCAACGAGGACCTCGGTCGACCTTTCGACCAGGACGTACCAAGGGTAATCGTAGATGATCTTCAATGTCAGAGGTAAGATCAAGTCTATCAGTCAAGGTCCCAGAGGAACTCGTCCTACATAGCTGCAGCCTGGCTCGTATCAGCCATGCTCCCGGGTCTCCGCTTAGTACTGTCGTAGTGCCTCGTCAGCAGCCTCGAGACAGAAGATGGAATACAGAGGGAACAGTTGGTAGGAGAAGATCGGCCGGCCATTCCTGGGACTGGCGGAGACGATGGTGTCACCTGGACGACGAGAAGCTCGGGCAGCTTCGACAGCCAGTCGCTCGCCTTTTCCACGTAGAACCTGTCTTGCCCCTACTCCTAGACACTTGAAGTACTGCTCCGTAAGTCTGGGTAACCGAAGGATTTGTGATGGGGATTGTGCAGTAAAGGCTTGCCCGACATTGTTGGCTCGTATGGCGAGGACCCAGTCATCGTCGATCTGATGCGCCTGCCGGAGAGCGACATCATGGCGTGACGGTAGCTCCTCCATGTCAGACTACTCATCTTCCCGGTTAAATCATCCCGAAACGGAACACCGAGAGCTCGGCCTGAGGGGGATGGGAGGGGGTTCGAATGTCTGGTGAACTATTAAGTTGGTGCAGTCACAAGAGACACCCGGCTGATGCTTAAAGTAGCGTCAAAGCTCATTTCGACTGCCTGTCTTCCTCAACCCCAGATCCAACGCCGGTGGGCAGCTCAACCTAACTACACATTTTTAACTAGTCAGAGTAACTTGGTCGACCGTCCCAAGCCCTGGCCAATCCAAGACCGCGAACGCCATCAGGAGAATCAACATCGGGAATGTGCTAGAGCATCAAGAACGGAAATCCACATGAGCCATCACTACACCCCCAGACGGGTCAGTCTCAGCCGCAACCGCAACCGCAACCGCCTTTTCTACCACCGTTAACCGTTCCCAACTGCCGGTCATAGGCACTCGACGTTACGACCCATACCCAAAGACTCGAAAAGTGATACTGTTTGATAAAATGAGAACGAAAAATAAGAAGCAAGGTCACATCAACGAAGCATATCCCTCACCCGCCGCACACAGTCGTCCCTGTGAGGATTCATCCAGCCCCGAAACAGCCTCACCACGCCGTCCCGCTCCAGTCCAGGCTTATTCCTTCCTTTCGTTGCCTCCTCGCAACTTGAAACACAAAGAAACATAGTAAATAACAAAAAACAAAAAAAAAAAGAGAAAGAGAAAAAAAAAACCGGCCGAGCAAAGACCACAAGTTCACGTCTCAAAACTCTCCTGCTCGCCACCTCATCCCAGACCACACGCGTCTTCTGGACACCCTCTCGCGGCAAACATGGAGAAAAACAACAACAACTTCTTGGCGCCTGGATCGACTCGGCACCCCAAACACGCCCCTCAAACCAACAAAACATCTCCTCTCGCCAGCTTTCCCGCAACTGTTTCTCATGCGTCGGCGTTGGAACGCCCCACGCTGCCCGGAGCCGCACCGTCTGATGCTCCCCCTCCTTCTATCTCCATGACTCGTCGTCCCTTTTCCCTTTCAGAACCGCTTCCGTCGGTCGTTTCTCGGTCTTCACACGTCATGTCTTGACGGAAGAAAGACAACCAAAGACATGGAAATTTCTACGCGCTCCGCAGAAGGGGTGAAAACCAACCCCCCAACCCCCGAAACTTGACCCGGCTTCTTGAGTCACGCTTCCGCAGATGTGTGTGCATGGTGTCAACCGATTCAACTACAGACGAACACGACAACGCCCACGCCGTAATTTTCTTTTTGCTTGGACAAACTCGTCTCAAACCGCGGCGAACGAGACACCCAACGGCCCGAACTCCCACACAACACGCGCATCGAATCAAAGGACTTGACTGGACCCGGAACTGAGTGTTTTAGAACCATCAACATTATCATCGCCGCCATGAAATCAAGACGAAACCAAGTGGCCTCCAAGACATCTGTCTGAGACAGGGGGTTATGGTATCTCGTATGTACAGGCTCATTTTAATGCCTAGTCAGGCATGTACATGCCCGCCCGAGCTGTCTGTTTGTCTGTATCACAATGTGGCCCCCTCTCCAAACGCCCTTTTCGCAACGAAAACCGGGGCACACAGCTTGTCAGCAGTCCTGACCATGCTTGGGTCATGCATCATCTGTGTGTGTTGCCCGAATCCCCATGCCACGCAAATGCAATTTCATGAAAACCCCCCTCCTTGGAAAGGGAATGAAGATTGAAGAAAAAAACACACCAGGAAACACGAACAACAGGACAGAAAATGCGGTGGGGTGTGAGAGATGAAGAGTCTTTGGTCCAAAACAAACAAGCCTAATCCGTCATTAGGTTTCCTCTCCGCATTGGCTCCTCATCCATCAAGCCCGCCTGAGAAATCTCGTCCCCTTTTCGTAGATGCTGTGTGGTGTGAAGAAAAGAAAAGAAGAAAAAAAAGGCGAAAATATGCCAAAAGGCGCAATTCTCGTCAGCTATCCAACAGTCGAAGCAACGTCGTCGACAAAAAGCTATGCCTCGGGATATCTCCGGGAATGAGGCGCCTCTCTCAATCATTAGTGAAGCTTGGGGTTTCCTGCCCTCGTACCTAACGCCGGTGTTGTGAAATGCACCCTTGTCGATGCTCCTCAATGTGTCCTCTCACATCACTACGCAGTCCTTGTCATCGCCGCTTTTCTTAATCTTCCCGCCGCGAGGCGGTGCGACTTCCATAGGTGTGCCACCGCTAACAGCCGCCTGGATGATAGCCAGCCGCTGTTTCGCACGCTCGTCGCCTGCATCGGCTGCCTTGACGTACCAAACGTTGGCCTCGAGCATGTCGCGCCGGCAGCCGATGCCCATTTCCGTGAAGTAGCCTACGGCGTATTGCGCCTTGACGTATCCTAGAAACCAGACGTTAGAATCTTCCTCCTACGCATCCTGTGTGGAGCGAGCGTCAACATACCCATCTCCGCCGAACGGCGCGCCCATTCGTAGGCCTCCTCCTCATCTTTCTCCAGTATTGGCTCAGCACCAACCATATACCATGCACAAAGTCCCATCATGGCTCCAGCGTGCCCACGCTCAGCGGCACCTGTGTAAAAGTGCACACTCAGCGCGGGATCCCGAGGACAGCTGAGCTTGCCGTGTTCGTATGCCTCTCCCATGCGGAAGTTGGCTTCGGGATGGCCTAGCTCTGCCGCGGCGGTGAACAACTCCGCTGCATAGACCTCGTCCTTGAAAATGTCATCGCCGTATCCTGTCTCATACAAGCACCCCAACTGGTAGGGGGCTGCGCTGTAGACGGAGTCGGCCGCCTCGGCGGCCAGTTTCATCCACTTGATACCTTCGCGGTATCGCTTCTCGCCTAAGTCGCCTGAAAGACAAGCCTTGCCAAGCCGGGACATGGCGCCAGGGTGACGCTTCGATGCAGACATGCGCAAAAATTGGACTGCCTTCGCAGGGTCCTTGCGGCATCCCCATCCGAACTCGTAGCATAGTGCAGTACGGTACGCGGACTCAGCATGACCATGCTTTGCGGCGAGGACGAAGAGAGGGAATGCCTGGTTGTAGTCCTCCTTTCCCTTACTAAACAGACCAGAGGCATATCCATCGGCGAGGTAGTATTGGGCAAAGGGGTACCCGCCACTAGCAAGCTTCTGAAGAATACCCTTCGCTTCCCGGAGGAGGTCAGAGGGAGTCGACGTCGAGGCGTCCTTGGGGTTCGGGCTTCCCTTGCGCGGTGCTGCTTCGCTAGGGTCGAGGCCTTGATCCTGTGCAGTGGAGATGAGGAAGACGGCAAAGGAGTACTGGATGGAGAAGTCGTTGGTCTTCTTCACGTTCTGGCGATACATCTCAAGAGTCTTCTGCGCACCAAGGAGCGATGCATTGTTGCCAACAGCATTCCTTAGCTGGTTGTTGTCGAAGCTAATGGGAGCTGGTGCGGGTTGCGGGTATGGCACATTCAACAGCTCTGCATATGAAGCCGGCCTAGTTTCTGGAGACCTGCGAGCACCGGACGGGCTGCGCAAATGGGATCCCCCAGACATCAGACCCGGTGAGCGCCCTCTCGGTGTATAATCCGAGATTGCCGAGTAGGCCGACGACGGCCGCGGCATCGAGCTTCTCCTGGTGAACCCAGTAGGTGTTAAGTGACGGTTGACGGAAGTTCCGTCAGCATTCAGGCTGGGGTTCGAGGATGACCGACGGGCATCAAGCTCTTGAGGAACACTTGACACGGGTGGAGGATACTCTTGGTGGTGGTAATACTGGAACATGGGAACGGAGTGGTTCTCTGGCATGTTGCTGTCGACGACGGAGCTCTCGGGAGACTCATCGTCCTTGTACTCGGCCGACTCATTAAGGCCACCGGAAACGGAGCTTGCACTCGTCGTCGCAGACGATTCTGCCGATGCTTGTTGTTGGGCGTTGCTGGAATCGCTGGTGCCCGACTCTCGACTATGGCGGTTACCATCTTGCACTCGAGATGGGCTGTGGGCGCTGAAGCTATCCGACCCTTGTATTTCCTGTATCGGCCGGGGAGCTTGCTCGCGGCCGCTTTTAGTGGGCGAAAGCGAATTCGCAGGACTCAGAAGGTTGGGTTCGGCAGTGTAGGAGGACGAAGTCTTGAGAGGGGGGAGCATTTCTCGTCCAGCGGACTGCTGGGAATGGGTCGGGGCATTTCGTTCTTGGGAGCGATCGGCCGTAGAAAATTCTGCCCGGTAGGGCTGCGCCGATTCAATATTCGCATTCGAAGGCTGGGCCCAGTTGTCGGCCTGAAAGTTTACTCTGACTGGGGAGGCAGGAGCGTCCCGAATTCTTGCTGACAGCGGTTTGCGGCCCGCATCATCGCCCATGGTCAGCTGCTCGGGGGATATGTGCTTTCGAAGGCGGTTTGGACCTGCAGTTGGAGATATTACGGGCGGCGTCGAAGCCGTCGCAGCCGCCATTGAAGCCGTAAAGAAATGAAGGGTTGATGGGTTGAATGCTTCCTTCTACCAGGCACTTTTGATTGGAGGCTGGTTTGACAGGGGACGTAGCTTGATTGTTGCCCAAGGCTGGAGGAACAGTCTCTTATTGAGGCGCAAAGCTTGCTGTCAGCATGCAAAGGATCGGATACCTCGCGCCAGATGTTTCTTTGAGGTACGCCTGTCGACAGCGAGTGAGGCAGGACAGGAGAGAAGAGGATGATGGTTTGGCGGATAGGGCCTTGTCCAGAGTGCCAAACGAAACGGGTGACGGAATTGTGCAAGAAACTGGCTGATGCAGTGCGTGGATGGATGAACTAGAAACTGGAAGAAGGGAAAGAAGCCGGGTCAGTGTGAGAAGTTCCAGGACAAACAGTAAAGCACCGGCATGTATGAGTTATTGATCAAGCTGAATACTTGTAGACATGGAGTTGAGGTTTTGGAAATGGGCCCTTGGCAGCACAATGCGTGGTGCGTGGCATGCTTGACTTGTTATGTAAGTCAAATACGGGGAGAGCCTGGGAGACGAGGAGAGACAGACAGCACCAGAGCGGGCAGGAGCAAGGAGCAAGGAGCAGGGAACAGGGAACAGGGAACAGTGAGTAAGCTGAGCGGGCAGAAGAGCCAGAGAGCCCCGAAGGCGGCGGCGGCGGCGGCAGCAGCAGCAGCAGCAGCACCCGGGCACACCAGCGCAGCACGCCAGAGAAGCTCCCAAGAACCAGCCCACCTGTGCCTCACCCACCCCCCACCCACTCTCGTCCACCCACACTGCCCCATACATGATGCATACAGGGCAGCCTAGCTCTTTGGCACAGCACCGCAACAGACCAGGGCCCTGCTCGGGTTGGCTCGCCCAGTCTGGATGGCATGCTCGACTGGTGCCTTGCTAGGGGGTGCGCTTACTTCTGCACACCAGCTCCTAGGAACTAGAGGGGACACTTGCGCCCAGGGGCGAGGGGCTTGTCTTCGAAGGAGGAAGGGGCCGGCTGACAAACAAGCCCCGACCTGGCCGTTGACAGGGCGGCAAAGTCGGAGGGACCACGAAGGGGACAGGAATAGACAGGTACCATAGTTATGACACAGAACAAGGCCCCGAAAGGAGAAAGGGAAGAAGGATACATACGTACAGTACGGTAGGCATGTCAGCTCGAGGTAAGGTATCTCGAAGACCGTTGCGAGTTGACCTCCCTGGATGGTGATTTCGTCTGGATGGACGACGGTTGACGGCCAGTCCAAATCGGGAGAAGTACAGGTGGGGAAACGGACAAGGTGGAAAAGAGAAGTTGAGCAGGCAAAAACGGAAATTGGAAATTTAGAGATGTCAGTGGGGTAAGTAGTGCGATGTAATGTATGTAGTTCAGTGCTGGATCTTGTTAGGCCGGCACCGTCGACTTTCTTGCAGCAACTCGGACGTGAGGAGAGAGCCTTCACTCAGCACAGGGCTCTTCTTCCTCATAGCCAATTTGCTTCGAGTGGGAGAAAGGGTCCGGAGCGGCCGGGGAATACGGCCAAAGGGATGCAGTGCAGGCAGGGATGAGGAGGTCGACCAACGAAAGAGAGAAGGTCGGATTGTCAAGGGCAGTGCAGGAGAAAACAAGATGCTGGTCTAGCTAGGGATTGAGGAGAAAGGTGAATACGGTAGGCTTGCCGGAAGGAAAAAGAAATTATGAAAAATAAAGGAAAGGCGAATGCGACACAGGAACAATACCGGTACACAGGCACGAGCGAAGCAGTCAGCAACAAAGGTGCCAAGCTGTCGGACCCGTCGCAGCTGGAGCTGGAGCTGGAGCTGGAAGGATTCGGAGCTGAAGGTTGCTGGAGTCTGGGTCACTTTGGCTGAAGAAGGAACCAAGAGGCCATTTCGTGGCTTCGGGCACAATTACAATAGGTACTCACCTCCCAACGTGGCACTTGGCAGCGACTCGCGCACCAACCTACCTACCTACCTACGTATCTTGCTGTTTGTTGTATACGTAAAAGTCCGAAAGCCCCGTGGCAAGGTACAACGACCGCGGTAATGTGATTGGACTGGCGCTCGTTGCCCGAAGCGCTGCAGATCGGATTTGGATGGCGTCGACTGGGCGTCGAGGGAGCGTCTCGGACAGGTTCGGATGGGGGATTGCCCCTCGTTGAATTACCATGGATTTACAGTGAATGACACGAGACTTCGGTCCGTTGTGGTAGGCAAAGAAAAGGTGTCTCGAATGGTCGTTCCCTGCCATTCACTGGGCTTTGAAGGGCCGTCCGACTTTGTGCTCCATGGTGGGCGACCATGGAAAGCTGGTTCCGTTGTAATGAAGGTGGTTGGTGATGATCGGATACGGAGGTAAATTGCCTACCCAAGTGTGCATACAATTGGAAGGTATTCGTACGTACCCCTTGGCCGGCTGGCTGTACGAATGATGCCATCCAATGCAACCTGCCCCGTGTTGTCTGTGTCCTGCGTGCAGCTACTGCAGATGCAGACGCAGATGCACAGTGCGGCCTGCAAGCGCATCGAAAGGAAGGAAACAAAAGGAATAGCAAAGTACGTATTTCTCTGGGCTGCGTGGAACCGACCTACATAGCACCTACCTACCTACCTACCTACCTTGGTGTCTGGGTTAGTGTGTATTAGGTAGGTACCTACCTGCTCGCTCAGATACATGGTATTCGTAATCTGCCTTTCATCGGTTGCTCTTGCCACAACATATGCGTGGTGGGAAGGCATCTCCCTCGCATTCCTTTCTGCTTCTCCTTACCTGACTACCGTATATCACGGCACCTCCAATATTGCCCACGGCCGAGCGGGGCATGTGTCGGTTATCTTACCCCTCCGCTGGCCATCGTCAAACACCCGCAGCCACCACCACAATTGCTTGGTCGATACACACAGACGGCAGACCCGAACGGAACTCCACCACATCGCACTCCCCCAGACTGGCTCGGCCAGTCGCCGTGCCTCTGTCAACCTCGTGTCACAGCACCGCAACGCTGTCATGTCACCTTGGGTCACCGCCTCTCCGTAGAGCCAGTGTCATTCAACAGAGACCCTTGGACCCTCGGCGAGAGAGAGCTGGAACGCGCCAACTACATGTCAAACCCGTTCGCCGATGAGGCGGGACGCCCTCCAACGTTGTACCAAATCACCCCCCGGGGACGGATGTCAGACATTGACGGCCGAGGCGGGTAGGCACCTGGTGTCCGGTTGACCTCATCCCTTTACGCACTCACCAGGCACTCTTTATTGTAGGCTCTCCACTCGTTGGCTAATGAAGCAGTAATGATGTTCGTTTCACCCCGAACCGAGGGTAGGTGGAGGTGTCTAACCCTCGGCCTGGTACCGGTATTCGCCTCACCCGTCCAATTCATACCGGCACACTTCAGCCCCTTTCGGGAATTTACCGGGACATCAGAGGTGCGAAGTACAACTATGCGCGTTGCAAAGATTCGCGTCTCGGAGACCCTTGTTCTCACTTGGAGTATTTGGACTTCCCAGCGGCTTTGCCGGGGTGCGCTGACTTTCCCCGCGGCGCAGCCCTGTGCAAAAGAGAGCGCAAAAGAAGGGACTTCAGGGTATCGATGCCTGACCAAAAGAAGAAAACGAACCCGACACGTTCCCCGCAAGAGAAAAGAAGTGAAGTTCGAGAACCCACTGTTAGCATCTAGCTCCGGATAGAATGCTAGGGGAAAACGCCGGCATCCGTACTTCCCGTGTTCGTTTCGAAACTTCCCTCTCGCCCGGCTCTCCTGTCAAGCAAGTCTAAGTGATGTTGATTCGAGATCGATGGTGATTGTCAAGGAAAGAAATCCAGCTCGAGGGCGCATGTTCTACTTGATTGCAACACACAAAAGAGCCGAGCGGCGCTGCATTGTCGATAGTACTCCGTAGGCGCATGGCCTTCCACTTATGAGGGTACAAATATCCAGCTTCACCGTCGTCTCCGCCGTTCCATAAAGATTCAAGTGGATTCTGATCAGCCCCAGCGCCCCAACGTGGGTCCGATGGCCAAATCGGCGAAGGCTGGGGTCTAAAAAATGGTGCCACCATACGACCCTGCAGCCGCTATTGGAAATAGAGAAGCGAGCAGACTGAATAGGAGAAGCGAAAGGGGGAGGGTCACATGAGCAGAAGATGAGAATTCCAACGAGCACACAAATGGCTGCGCCGCCGAGGCATCAGTGGAACTCTGCGAAAAAGAAGAACAAAAACAACAACAACGAAAGTTCAAGGAGAGGCCGCCTTGGATACGTACTGCACCTCAGCCGGCCTCGACGCTAGGCACGCCTCCATTCGAGTCTGTCGTCATCTCCATCCACTCAGCCACTTCGTATATAAAATCGAGGATGTGTTTGGAAACGGAGGACTCACCGAGAAAAGCGGGTGCTGCGGGTTTTGCTCGTCATGTGAGGCATTCAGCACGTTACTGTCGCCAGGTACTGCAAAGTCGTATGCAGGGCATGGATGACTGACTGACCGTGCTCGTTATCGCACACGCACCGGACAAGTTACAGTGGACCAATACCGCCGGGCCCACTGTTTGAATTGCCAAGTCAACCGAGCCGACCCCTTTTCAACGTTGGCCTAAGACCCTCACCCACCTATCTCCCGGCGGCGGATTATGGCGCTGTACTGCTGGGCAGCCTTGCGCATATTGCACCGCTCAGTGTGGTCCGACGTCGAAAGCATACCGTCGTACGTCGAATCATTCCGAGGTCTTGTCGAAACCTCGCTGCGCCTCTGACTCTTAGGCTCGGGCGCCCTCACGATCCTCGATCAGTCCGAGGGTCCAGCGTTTGAAGGCAGTGGGCCGGGGCGAACATTGCGGATCGCCGCTGCTAGTTTACACCTATCCGTACAGAGTGCGACTGCAACCAGTGCAGCCTTCGGTCGCAATCATTTTTGGCTTGACTGTACCCCGCATGATATGTACCATGCAGCCAGACGGCTGGATGCATGTTGAGCCTGGAAATTGGGGGACACCGGAACCTTGGTACTGGTTCCGCTTCCTGGTGCATATTTGTATGAAGTCGCCGTCACTGAGCGGATTACACAGCCGCACATCTCGACAGCAGGCAACGGGCGTGCTAGAACGAAGCATTTCCAAGGTCTCTCTTTGTTTCTGGCGCCATGTGCGAATCCGTTCATGGAATTTCTCTACTCAAAATGGTGCCGAGCCCACCGTACTCTTTGCGAGGGATTCGCCGTAATGACTGCTCACCTCCCGAACCGGACTGGACATCTCGTATAACTGGATGTGGAACGTCTTTTCTCCCTACTTCCACCCCCCATCGTCTCCAAATCGGTGTTGACCACCCGACGCCCACAGCTCTTCAAGATGAGCTAGCATCGCTAGCTTTGGGTTGGCATTTTTTGCAGGCTCAAACATTTCTTCTGCCCTGACGCTCTTCTGCTGCGCGGCCTATCGTTGGACAAAACCGCACTTCGGCATGGTAAGGTATACGGAAGCTACAATGAGGCCGTCCTTCACAACTCCAAGGCGGATAAGCCGTTGTTCTGCATCTCGACCCAATGACCATCCTTACGGTAATCTGGCCTCATATGGCGATTTTCGGCATGCTGAGGATCCTAGGCTTGGTACATACTCTCCCGCGACATTATCATTCACCATGATCGTAAGTAGCGTGTACAAGTGCCGAACAACGTACGCTATCAGAGAACACAACATCATTTAACTGACACAGAATCGAATTTCGGTGCCGATTCGATAGGGTCTCAACTGAGAATCAGCGCAGAGCACTTCACCTCAATGAGGGTGGTTTGTCAGTACACTGGGCAAGGCGCCATGTTTTGAGATGAGACACGAAGTTAATGCTAGCCGCCGTATCAGCCTTCGGCCGATTCACTGCCGTCAGATTGATTAGATGAATTTTCGTCCGATGGTTCACCGAAACGATACATACTATGTACACAGTTCCTGCTGAAGACGGCTCATTGTCGTAATCACGAGGTGGGGCATCGTCAGATAACACCACCCTCGGTTGATCGGCAAGTCACTGCAAGCTACTAGAGGATCTACTCAAGATCTGCGAGAATCAACTCATGAGGCAGCGAAAAGGAAGGATTTCCCCACGATCCAGCGGCACGAATATAGTTCACTTGTTTTTATTTTTTAGGCCCATCTGTTCGCTACAAACCTGGAAAGCAAGCTTGGAACCTCGGAAGCTAGCCGATGCGAGTGGGACGAGGAAACGCAGATAATATCAGGAGAAACGTGCGGTTGGCCACTTGTGGGTTTCTCGATAACGGCACAGGGCTCGAGTGGACGCTTCACTGAAGAGCCAAGACAGAGTGTTCATTCCCAGCGGGGGCTGCAAGGGCTGCAAGAAACCGAGCATGCCTTTGGCGAAAGCGGTTGACAACAACAGTGACAGCCGCAAATCCGGCATGTTGTGTTAGGAGCGAACTGATCAGGATAGGCGCGCGTGCCCCGACCTCAGATGAGATCGCCCGAAGCGGCGTGACAGCACCTTCATCTGGTGGTGACAACAAGGGATGCCAGGATACCGCGAAATGGGATAGGCGGAAGGGTCAGCTATGCCGTGTGTTGATGGAGAGGAAACATTCCCAGGCTGATTTCTTGTGCCCCCTCGAGACGCGGGTACTACATCGATGCTTTGACCATGGGTACCACGTGGATATCTCTTCTGGGGGTTAAAAACCATCCCAGCAACGATGACCTAGAATACTGCTGGACGAGGTAAAGAAAAGCTTGCCCTCCACAGTTGAGTTTCGCGTACGGAGGCAAAGCAGACTGGATCCGTAGGAGCTATGGGGTAGTTGGTGTGGCTAGTTGGGACATTGGATTGCATAAAGTCCGTAATAGTCGAAGAACAAATGCCCAACAAATGCCGGCCTACAGCGCCGGGATAGATATAACGAGATATCCTGGGCCAATGCACTACTTACAAGGGCCGGCAAGCAATCAAGTTGCGCGTTCTTCCCGTCGCCATCGCATCTTTCCTCTCACGACGACATAGCCCATTCGTAAGCTCGGGCGCCGTTCAGCACAGCACAGGCCAGGCTAAGGTGGATATTTCGAATGCCTCAAAGGTCGGCTGGTCGGCTGGTCGGCTGGGCAACAGGGGCGGAAATAGTAACCATGGTTTCTGCATGCTGATCTGGCTTAGACTACCGACCGGTATATACGTATGTGGTGGGTAAGGTACGAGCGGGGGCCCGGTTGATGGGCTGTGAATGGGTGGGTGTGTTCCTCATTCGTATGGAGTCCCGCCTTTGATATTATACCATGCTCTTCCACACTGGATACCCTTTGCATGACGGAGCAGAAGACGCAGAACCGAATTATGTTTTTGTCAACGCCAAACAAGAGAAACGCGTGAAACGGGCGATTGCGTTAGGGAGGGGGGCGGATACCCCCATCAATACATTCATGATTAAAGAGTGCGGTCATTGGCATGCCAGAGCGACGTTTCGGTTGTTGGTGTCCGTAGGGATACACAACTGTCCAGGTGAGGTCAGGGTACACTTGCGGTACTTTGCTGTGGGTCCACGAGCAGGGAATAACTTACAAATAAGGCCGATGGAGTCTCCCACATGAGTCACCCCCTGTTCCTTGATTGAGGTACCCAGCAGGTCCAACCTACTTTATTCTTAGCCTTCCTTTCGTTACCCATCGAAAGCAGTCGAAGCGGATTCTCGTACGGTATGTCGTATAGTGAGTGCGCGTCTTTTTATTCGTTCGTATCCTGCTTTGCTTTCCTCAGGATCAGACGGCAAGGGGGAAAAATAAAAATACAAAAGGGAGAAAAGGCAACGAGAGGGCCGGTAGAATCGAGTAGGTAGCATCGACAAAACGGGATCCAGCTGGCAACGCGGCGATGACAGCAATACGAGAATGGATGAGGCGAGGGTGGCCGGGCGGTGGTGGTTGGTGGTTGGGAATGGAAATGGGACGGACGGTACCTACCTTGGTACTCCTTTCCTTGGAGGAAGTGCAGCTGTTTTGCCCCCCCCCCCCCCCCCCCCCTTAGGCAAAAGAAGAGCTACTCTATACAGGCTAGCGAACAAGTCGAACGGTTACAACGCCGGACTCTCTCTTCCCCTTTTCTGCACTGCAACCTCCCTCGTCCTGGCTGGTATCCGTACTCTGTTCCAAAGCAATAATTCTCTG